GGACTATTCCCTCCCTGGCATGAACCCAGACCCAGAAGCAGGGGACCAGCTGTGCAGCCAAGCAGCAGGCGGCTGGAGGAGGGGGAGGCGGAGCCCACCCACGGGGCGCTCCGGCCTCAGGTGAGAGGCCACCGCAGGGCACATGCATGTGGACCCCTGCCCTGCAGCCCTGAGGTGGGCCTGCGGGCTGTGACCTCCCAGACTCCCGGTAGGTTTCCCTCTGCCTCACCTCTCTGCCTTGTCCCTATTCTCCAAGCCATTGTCTCGTGATGAATAGTACTTTAAAAATATGGGCAAATGTTTAATGCTTGCAAGCTGTGTTCATTACTGATGTTGTGCTTGAGGGCCAGGCAGGCAGCCCAAGCAGGGCCGGGGCTCAGCAGAAGTGATGACGCCGCAGCCCTGCGAGGCAGCCGTCTGCCAGGCCCCCACTGGGCGCGGACGGGCACCGGGGAGGCAGAGGAGGAGCAGGGACTCAGGTTCTGGAAGTGGACTCTTCGGGGTCTGGATCCTCCCTCCGCCCCTGATCAGCTGTGTGCCTGGCAACGTGGTCCTCTCCGTGTGGAGTGATAGCCCCTGCCCCGCATGGCGTGAGGACTCAGCAAAATGCCCCAGGAGGACCCTGGGGCTGGGCCTCTGGAGACTCAAGGCCACCCGTGCAGGCCATTTCACGGGCTCGGGGTTGAAGTGAAAAGTGGGTGCCTCCCCCCCACCCTTACTACTCAGAAAGAGGAATCATCGTCCTGCTCAGGTACTCAGAGCCTTCCAGGCTGCGGCCCGGCTGACCTACCCAGATTCATCTTGCCCTGCCCCCTAAAATGCCCAGGACCCAGTGAGCCCACAGACGTGAGCTGCTGTCCTTTCCGTCACCCCTTGCCCATCCCGCGAGGGCCCGTGTAACCCCCTCAGCACGGTGCCTGGCGTGTGGTAAGAGCTCCCAGTGAGCTAGCTAATACTTCATTGTTCTTGCCTTCTGGAGGCTTCGTGACCCAGCACTCTGGGAATTGTTTTTCTTCTCGCCAAAGTTCGGGTGACCTTGGGACAGGATGGCAGAGGCTGGATAAGAGGAGACGAGGTGCAGCCCCTGCCTCCGAGGGTGGCCCGGCCGCAGGGGTGGGGGGCAGAACAGCCCCTCCAGCCTCTGCCCAGCAGCCTCCTGGGGTGGGGGAGACCGCCCTGCTGAAGCAAACGTCCAGAGCACAGTGGGGCTTGAGGCCAGCTGGAGGGTGTGCGCCCCCCACCGCCGCTCCTCTCTGAGGGGCCCTTTCCTGCCTTCTCTCCCTTCCGCTCTTCCAGTGGTTTAATTAGTGGAGCTTGGGGGCGGCTCCTCAGTGCAACGTGTCATGCCCATGTCCTGACAGCACACGTTCAGGGGTCTCCTGAGCTAAGCCGGCCTCCCACGGCCCCTGGGCAGGGCATCCGGGCCCTGGATGATGAGGGCGGAAGCGTAACATCTGGGAAGCCGCTCTCTGCGGACAGGCGTGCACAACAGGCCGGGGCTGCCCGGGGTGAGCAAAGGGGGTGTGCCGGAGCGGGGCGCAGGCATAGATCTGTGCCTTTGCCCAGTGTCTCCACGCAGTGACGTTCAGCAGTAGTTAGTGAGCAGCTACCCAGTGCCAGGCCCTCCTCATGAGGGTCACAGGCAGGGCCCTGCCCCTTGCAGCCCCCGTTCTGGAGGGAGAGACAGTGGGGACCCAGTAGACGAGTCTGTCACCCAGATGATCCAGGTAGTGAGAAACGCTCAGAAGGACACAGGACTTTCCTTAGCAAGGGCTGGTGGCAGGAGATGTGCACTGGACAGAGGCGTCCCCAGGGTCCAGGGTTGGAGCTCACACCTCCATGGCCAGAGGGGGCCGGCCGTGTGCGGGTCCCTCGGGAGAGCTTTCCAGGCCAGGGCAGAGGTCAGGAACGGAAGGAAAGCCCAAGGGGCCAGCATGTGGTGAGTGAAGAAGAAATCCTAAGAGCTGAGGTTAGAGAGAAGTGACCAGAAGATGCGAGATCCTAGAGACGTGGTGAGGAGTTGCGGTTTGTTTAGATCCCGTGGGAAAGCTTCGGGGGCGGGGGGGTGGCGTGTTCTGATGAGCACTTTTCAGGGCTTGCGCCAGTGGGCAGTCCACTGGGAGGGTGGATTGTAGGGGTGAGAGAAGCAGCAGGGAGACCAGTGAGGAGACGGCTTGGCATTGACCAGAAGAGATGGCCACCACTTGCCGGGCTGGCAGGTGCACTGGAGGGAGAAGCCAGGGGTTCGAGGACGACTCCTTCCTTGGTTTGGGCGGAGCAGCTGGGTGGCTGGGACAGTGACACTGCTTCCTGAGATGGGAAGGCGGGGAGCCGGAGCGCTGTACCGTGGCCCTGCCGAATTTGCAGTGCCTGTCGGGCAGCCGCCAATCTAGAGATGGCCTTGAAAACCTGGCACCAGGCGCGACCGCCAAGAGAGGCGGACGAGAGAGAGAGCACGCGTGTGCAGGGCAACCGCAACACGAGAGGAGGAGCGGTCTCTGAGGGAGGGGAAAGCCAGGACGGTGTGCTGTCACTGGTGGCGAGAGAAGAGCATTTCTAGAAGACTCCACCATCCCTGACCTTCTGTAGTGCCATCAGTGTTACTGGGTTCTGAGGGACACCAGGAAGCCTTGGCACCCGCCTGTCCTCACCGGCACCACCCCCTGTGCTTACCCCTCCACACTTCCCCAGCTGTCCTCACGTGAGAGCACTGCCCCCGCCCGCTGGCTGCCACAGGGCCGTGTGCCCCGTGGTCCCTGGAGAGAGCTGCCTGGCAGAGCCTCAGCTGTTGGCCTCTGTCATGGAGACGGCAGCAGCTGCAGGCGACGGGCGTTTGTGACCATTTGTCAGAATGCTCCCCTTCCTCCCTGGCCTGCCCTTCTGGAACATTTCTATCCCACGGCCCTGGAGACAGGGCTTATCCAGGGGTGGGAGGCCCAGGAGGGGACAGAAAGTACTGTCTGTGCGCTGCAGAAAGCCAAGCTCCCTCCTATGAGCTGGCTGTCACCCCCACCCACGGCACCACCGGGGTACCCAGGGAGGGTCCCGTTAGCCATAGACTGTGCACCCCCCCATGAGTTGTCCCCAGTCGTGGCAGCTCTCCTCTGAGTAGCCCCCATTATGCAGGGGATTATAATCCCCAATTAGGAGGTGAAGAAATTGTGGCCCAGAGACGCTGGGGTCACACAGCTCGTCGGAAGATCCAGGCTCTGGGTGCACACAGGTGAGCCCGGGCGCCACCCAGGCGATGGCAGAGCCCATCCCACACCACCGTCCAGCCTCACCCCCCACCCCAACAGCCTTGTTTCCACTTCTCTGGTGCATTCTTGCCCGAGGCTGCTGGTTCCAGCTGGGCCTAGGCTGGGGATGGCCTGCCCACTGTTGGCACTTCGAGGTTTGGCCTCTCTATTACCAAATGCTCTGGGATTTTTCTGGAGCCGGGGGTGGGGAAGAATCTTCTGCTGTCTGGCCCCAAGGCATGGCTTGGGGAAGCAGGAAACCAGACCCTGATAAATGCAGAGTTTAGTACGAGTTCAGTGACCCGGGATAGCTACGTGTCCAGTATCTTGGCTCCAAATGTGGTTCATGTTGTCCGGCACACTAGACCTTTGTCCCCACAAGCCCATGTCCAAGTCTGTATACTTCCCAGGAGCAGAGATGCAGAGTCAGGCAGACAGACGTGCCACCCGGATGGGAGACGGGGCAGGTTGGGGAGCTGGATGCGGAGCACCGTCAGTAGCTCAGTGGCCACACCCCGACAGGAAGGCCCCACCTGCCCACTCCTTGGCTTGGCCCTTCTCAGTTTGCAGGAGCCTTGGGATCCCTGGACTCCCGACAGGAAGGCCCACTCGTCCCCTCAAGGTTGGGCCTCCGTGGGCGCCATGGCAGAGGAGGGAGGTCAACAGGCTTCCTCCGAGCCTGTCCTTGAGACCTGCCTCTCACTGTTGACGTCATCTTGGCCCAGGGACCCTGGAAAATCTGCTTTTCTCCATTCTCTGGATTTCCTGTTTTCCTTTTTATAGAATGGAGACTCCTTTCCACAAAGCCTAAGCCTTATCCCTGCAGGACTTCCTAGAGGAGAGGTGGTGGCAAGAAGTGGCCCTAACTCATCCCGTGACCTCGGTCAAGTCACCTTGCCTCACTGCACCAGAGCTTCCCTACGTGAACAGCAGAGATAAAACTCAGGGTTGTCAGAGGGGCGGTCCATCCCACAAGCACCTACTGAGCCCCTGTGGCCAGCAGGCACCACGCGCTCCAGTGGGTGGGGGGGTGGGCCAGGCACGGGCGGCACAGCTATGAACGACACACACAGGTTCCTGAGCCCAGGGGGGCGGGCAGGGGACAGTACGTCAATGACCAGTGCGTGTGTTATTTGTCACATGAAGACCGTCTCTATCCAAAAAAGTAAAGGCGGGAAGGGGTAGGGAGTACCTCGGCACGTGGGGGACGTTGCTGTGGCACGCGGGAGATGGGGGCTTCTGTGGCGACAGTGGTAGGCAGAGGCCCACTGTTTCTTTAGAATTCCACTGTGGGGGGGCGCCTGGGTGGCTCAGATGGTTAAGCGTCTGCCTTCGGCTCAGGTCATGATCCCGGGGTCCTGGGATCGAGTCCCACATCGGGCTCCCTGCTAGGTGGGGAGCCTGCTTCTCCCTCTGCCTCTGCCTCTCTCTCTCTCTCTCTCTCTCTGACTCTCATGAATAAATAAATAAAACATTTAAAAAAAAAAAAAAAAGAATTCCACTGTGGGGCCTGGGGCAGGGGAGGGAGGTCAGTCCAGCCTGTGGTGCTCCAGAGTTGCTGGGCCAGAGTGAGCAGCGCTGGGAGGCTTGGGGCCAGGCCCGCTGTGAGCAGCACCCCACCGTCCCCCGCAGGCCTGAGAGCTGGGGTCCCAGGCCAAACCCAGGAAGGAGCGGATTTCGTCAGGACACTGCAAGACCAGGGAGAGGCTTCCTAGGTTAAGCCCAGAGGTTTCTGTAACCTCCTCTCCGCCTGCTTTCCAGGCAACTCTGCCTCCTGCTAAACGCGGAGAACATCTTCCACTCGATGGCAGACATCCTGCTCCAAGAGGAGGACCTCAAGTTCGCCTCCACCATGGTTCACACCCTCAACACCATCCTGCTCACCTCCACAGAGCTCTTCCAACTGAGGAACCAGCTCAAGGACCTGAAGACTCTGGTACTCCGCGTCCACGGGCTCGGGCCCCGGGTTTGGTCCTGTGCACGCACGCACGGGCGCACAGCCGCGCTAGGCCACCCTCGCCCCAGGAGGCTCCCGGGGGGAGACAGGATGGAATCTGAGATGTCCGGGTCCAGTGTAAACTGCGGACTCCCCTGGCTTGCTGCTCGGTGCCAACCAAGGCAGTAAGTCGGAGCCGCTTTGCTGGGAGCCACCCGCTGCGGAGATCTCTGCCCGCGGAAGGCTCTGGACTCTACTCCAGGGTCCACGTGCCCTCCCTGGGCCACCGAAGTCCATGCATTTTACACTTGTTGACACCCCACCCCCCACCCGCACACCGAGCGGATTGGCTTCTGGGACCGAGTGGCTCACGCCTGCTGGGCCATGCCGCCCTGTGTGAGTCAGGCTTCTGGGGTGTAATGTTGCCAGACGTCAGGGATTATTGCTGTCCCTACCCTTCTCCTCGGCCCTAGCCCTTCCCTCGGTCAGTTGAACACATTTGTCTCACAAGGCCAGGGTGTCCTAAGCCAGGGTGTCACAGTGCTGCCTGGCCCAGGCTCTGGATAAGGACCCAGTGGGGCTGGTCAGAGAGAGCAGGGGGCTGCTCACTGTTCTGCCATCCTGCTATGGGGGGACACCAGTCAAGGGCCGAGCTTCCGAGGGCCTCTGGAAGTGGTGGTGGTTTCATTCCCCAATGTGGGCTGTGATCTCCCCCGCCCAACCCCTCCCCCGCTCAGACCCTGCCTCTGCTCTCTCTCAGGGAGTCTCAAGGACATCCCAGCCTGCTTCAGGGCATCTGGGGCCAGGCAGCTCAGACTGATCCAGGCCACACCTCCGCCTTCTTCCTGTGGTTCTTCCCAGACAGTCGCAGAGGACTTAAGAATTTTCCTCAGGGCATGGGCTCCCTGGGTGTGGGCTCAGCTCCTGGGCGGGTTCCTGAGCACCAGGTGGGCTGCCGAGGAGGGAGGAGCTGTGGCGTCTCAGAATGAGACAGGATGCTGGCCGGGGAGAGCCCAAGCCCTGAGGGAGCCTCCTCCCTGCCCAGAGCCCCGCCCTCCCAGCCCCACGGGCTCCGGGACCACGGGCGTTCTGGAGAGGACGATTACGGTTGCCGAGGATAGGCTCACGCCTGACCAGGCCCTCACAGCCACCACCACGTGGCTCTGTGGGACTGGGGGTGATGACAGGGTCTGAGGAGCTGTCAGCGTTTCCTTTGTGACGGCTTGTGCCCAGCGGGGCTGCCAAACACAGCCCCGGGTGCTGAGCTGGCCCCCCAGCACCCCGCAAGGGCCCCTGGAGCTCAGGCCCCTTGTGGATCCCGCGTGGGAAGGAGTGGGGGCTGTGTCAACTGCTCATACCTCTTCCCCATCAGGAGAGCCAGAACCTCTTCTGCTGCCTGTACCGCTCCTGGTGCCACAACCCCGTCACAACGGTGTCCCTGTGCTTCCTCACCCAGAACTACCGGCACGCCTATGACCTCATCCAGAAGTTGTATCCTTCCCGTCCAGCCGCTGAGGGACAGTGGGGCGGGGGGGGCGAGTGCTCCCTTTCCGCCCAGGTGGTGGGCCCAACTGCCACACTCCCGCCCCATCCCCCTGCTCGGCCTCCAGGCCCCGTGACCTCAGGACCTTGGAGGGCGCCGAGAGGTGTGTATTGGAGAGGTGCTGTTGGCAGCAGACAGGGTCATCTGGATCTCGGGGCGGGGAGCTGCCCTGGCGGAACCTTGTAAGCCAGGGATCGAGGCTGAGGGGTGCTGATGGGGCCATGTAGGTGAGGGCGCCCCAGAGCGGGGGCAGGGAGAGGCCCCGGGAATCGGGAAGGCACATGGACTGCAGTGGGTGGACCTAGGTGTGAGGCCTGCGGGCTTGAGCTCTGGTGTTCGCAGCATTGCTGGTGAGGAGCTCAGGGACCTTGTGGGGCCACAGAGCCAGAGGGAGCCCAGGTTGGCAGTGACAGAGGGGAGAAGCAGGCGGGGTGAGAGGCCTGAGCCAGAGACAAGACCCACAGCACGCCTCAGGGCCTGTGAAAGGCATCCAGGGGCTGATTGGTCACAGTCCTTAGAACACTGAAGCAAACCAGCTTCCTCTGTGAATGCCTGGCATGTGACCCTGGATCAAAGAGCTACTTAGGATGCAAAATGGGCCTCCTTTCCCGATGGGACCAGGAGTTGGGGGTAAGGAGAGAGGGGCCCTGAGGTTCCTCTGTGGAGGCTCAGTGTAGCCTTGCCTCGCTCCCTGAGAGGTGCCTGCTCTTCTTCTACAACCTAGATTTGCTTTCCTCGGCACACACACACACTTGCCGAAGCCCTGACCTTGGCCCTCCTGACAGGTGTCCACCCAGGCAGGAACCGGGACCTTTCCGGCTCAGCCTCCCCCTGCTCCCTTCCCCCTCCCCCCGCCCCCAGGCTGCAGGGCTGAGATAAGAGCCTTTCAGAGCCAGGAGGGCGCAGAGGAGAGAGCCCCGGAGCAGAAGCGGAGTGCCCCGCACGGGGACACCTGTGCCATTTTTCGTTTAGAGGGACAGAGAGGCGAAGAGGCAGATAGGCTGATGTCCTCTGTGTACCTTCGTGCCTAGCCAGAGCAGGTTCTGCTTCTGAAGCCAGGGCCCCGGGGGGAAGAACACGTGTTCCCAGCCCCTGGGTCCCAGCTCCCCGGTTGCCCCCACCCCAACAGAGGCCCCCCACAGAGACGGGCTGTCGTGGCCCAGGGGTCAGACTTTCCTTGACCACCCACCCAGCGGGGACCTGGAGGTCACGGTGGATTTCCTCACAGAGGTGGATAAACTTGTGCAGCTGATCGAGTGCCCCATCTTCACATGTAAGAGCCCAGCTTCCGGCCATTCTACCCTGCCTCTGGGAGGGGGCAGGGAGCGCACACACACACACACACACACACACCCCGGGGGTGTTTCCTAGAACGTCAAGAACGGAAGGCTGGGAATGACAGGGCTGAGGGGTCCAGTCCAGTGGGACTGGGATGGGTGGCATCAAGACGGACGCCCAAAGGTGGGTCTCGTGGACACAGGCCGGTGGGTGGCAACCCCCCCCCCCGAAGGTGAGTAACATCCCTGCCAGGGGGACCAGAGCAACCGGCCCAGAGCTGTTTCCAGCCCCCCTGCAAGCCCGGGCTCTCAGAAGCTGTGGGGCCCCGTGGGCCCACCTGCAGGGGCTTCTCTGTGCCCGGGAGCCACGGCCTCCTGTCTCTGCAAGGCAGAGTTGGCGTTTGCGGGAGCGGCTGGGCAGGAGTTGCTGGATCGTAACATCCAGGCTGAATGTGCAGAAGTGGCCGCGGGCTGGGGCGAGCACAGCTCTTGGCGCCTCCGCACCTGCAGTGCTTGCTCTCCAGAGCAGGCAGCCCGCTGAATAAAACTCCGGCGCTTACAGTAAGGTCGGGAAGCAGGGAGGCAGCCCTGCCGGTGGCCTCCTTCCTGCCCAGCTGGTCGGCCTGGCCCCCTGCTCTCTGGCAGCACCTCTGACCCGCCCGAGCCTCTGCACGCAGCCAGGCTCCACGGTGTTAGAGGCCCAGGAGGGAGACCCTGTTCCCAGCACAGCGCATCGAAGCCTGTCCCACGTGGTCCCCTGGCCTGACCTCTCACTTCCCCAAGGGCCTCCTGGGGCAGCCAGGCACACCCTCTCCTGAGGTCAGATCCAGCCTGACCCTGGAGAAGCCACAGGCGCCCACTGACTAGGCCCAGGGCTTTGTGGGGGTGACCGCAGCAGATTCACCCCGGTCCTGCTCAGCACCCATCCCACTCCTGGCTTGCCTGGCCCCCCCTTGGGGCCCAGAGTGGGGACTGGACTGGAACAGGCCCACGCTGCTGCTGGAGTGGCCAGGCCCACGGAGGACTGCGCAGGTCTCCACTGGTGGCTCCTCCCCCCTGGGGCAAGAAGAGGGTTTGGGGGGCAGGGGGGTGCCCGGCTGCTGTGGCTCCAGCTTCAGCCCAGACCCCCGCACGGCTGCCGCTGCCGGGGTCACGTGGCCTCTCCGGACGTTTGTGGCACGTTCTCCAGAAGAAGGCCGGAGCCAGTGACTCCCAGAGGGGCTCGGAGGAGGGAAGCGGGGGCCTGTTGAATTGGGACAGGTGCTGGGCAGGCCCAGGGGCGCCTCTCCCATCCAGGGGGCTGCTGACACGGCTGGGTATCTGAGGTGGCTTTCCGAAAGCCCCTACCAACGCCCCTGAGCTTGGCGTGTGTGCAGCCCCGCACACAAGTGCTCTTCCATCCCGCGCTCCCTGAAAGCTGTCCTGAGCCCGTCTTTCCCGCCCGCTCACCCTGTTTCTAGCCCTCTCATGCTGGCACGTGCCGAGCAGCCCGGGGGGGTCTGTTACGCTCCAGGCCCCGGGGCCCCCTCCTTAGCAGGCTGCGGTGAGCCTAGGAGCTCGGGGCCCGGCAGCAGCCTGGCGCGCGTCAGGCCGAGGGCCCTCTCAGGACAGACAGGCAGCAGGAAAGAGGCCTGATGTCGCGGGGACAGCTGAGGCGCCGCTGGCGGGGTGGGGGGGTGCTGACCCCTGCCCTCTGGCCTCCGCCCTCCCGCAGATCTGCGCCTGCAGCTCCTGGACGTGAGGAACAACCCGTACCTGATCAAGGCCCTCTACGGCCTGCTCATGCTGCTGCCGCAGTGCAGCGCCTTCCAGCTGCTCTCGCACCGGCTGCAGTGCGTGCCCAAGCCCGAGCTGCTCCAGGCCGGGTGAGTGCCTCCGGGGGGCGGGGCTGCCCGGAGGGGTCTCCCTCGCCTCGGAATCACGTCCCTCTGGCACTGCGGACACGGGCCCGCCCCACCACCACTGGCCCTCGGGCGTCGCGGCGCACCGGGTCGGGGGCTTCTGGGAGTGTTTACAAGGTGGCGGGGCCTAGCGATGGCTTCCGCAAGCAGTCGGGGTTGAGTTAGTCAAAAATAAGAGGGCATTGCCACAGTCACCCAGACGGATGCCCCTGGAGAGAAACCGCGGGCAGAGGTGGAGGAGGAGTCACGTCCTAAGTCAGAGACGGCGCCCAGTACCGCACAGATAGGCGTGAGAGCCAGGCCTCAGGTGGCCCTCCCCTCCGTCTATGGCAGAGGTTCCAACCTGGGCCTCAGAGAGACCCCAGGCTCACTGGGACCTTCCCAAGCCCGTCCCGGGTCGGGCGAGAGGCAGGGTGCATCCATGGCTACCCTGCTTGAGTCCTGCCCGTGGGAAGAGCAGGTCCCGGGCACACCTCCACCACGAGTCCCAGCATGGCAGCCTCCGGGCAGGAGGGCTGCGGCCCCGGGGCGGGGTGGTGGGGGAGGGGGGGTCCAGCCAGGCTCCCACCCCAAACCCACTGCTGGCCCGGCCCCCAGAGCCTGTTGGGCTGTGTCTATATTTGGTAACCCTTGGAGGCTTTGCCTCATCCACAGGCATTTGGCATCCGAGATGGAAAATTTCACTTGTCAGGTCGCCATGGAAACAAGCAGAGCCACTGAGAAGATTTACGCTGAATGGAGCGCACCCAGCTTGCATCAGATGCCCTGTGTGTCTAGAATTCCCTCCCAGGCTGTTGGAGCCACTTGGCAGGCCTGGCACCTCACTCCCGCGAAGGGCCTCGGGCTTGGGCCCTTGGGACTGATGCAGGCAGGACTTGAAATGGGCCTGCCTGACGCTCAAGGCCCCGGACCCAAGCCCCTGTGCCCTCCATAGCACTGGGTTTAGGCTCCCACCACCCCTCCCATCCGGCTTGGCCTCTCCAGAGGCTGGGTGGGGGCCACCTGACAGGTTGTCTACCCTAGGCTGGCTGGAGGGGCTGGAGCCCCCAGCAGGTGTGGCCCCCAGGCCAAGGCCCGGCTCCTGCCTACTCCACCCCTCTTCCCAGACAGCAGTGCTCTCAGCGGCAGAGCTAGGCACTGTCCCAGCTGCTCATAGTGATGCCCAGGTAGTCCTCAGGGGAGCAGGGAGTTGGGCTCGCCCTTGGATTCCCTTAGCCAGAATACCTCCGGCTTCTGGGACTCAGAGGCCCTGAAGCCACACCGTAGCCTCCCTGGCCTGGCCTCTGCACCAGCCTTGCCAGTGTCCAGTGGGTGTTAGGGTCACCCTGGCAGGCAATTAGGAGGAAAGGTGCAGCTGGAGAAGTGAGGAGGAGGAGGCAGGAAGGGCTGCTTCCCTGTGACCTTTGGTTCTGGTCCCCACCCCCACCCCCAACCAGCCTGCCTTCTTGAAGGAGGCCTCTGGGCCAGGCCACAGACCCTGCGCTGCTAAGGGCCATCCCCCTGCCAGAGCTCTGCCCAAGACGTCTCCTTGGCGGGTGGGGGGCGTGGATGTAAAGCTCCTGCAGGCTCCAGGCCCAGGTACAAGTTTGTAGAGGGAAGTTGAGGAAAAAGGGTTCTCCCTGAGCTTCCTTTTTTTTTTTTTTTTATTCTTATGTTAATCCCCATACATTATCTCCCTGAGCTTCCTATGGTCAGAGTCAAGGGAGTCTTGGGCCAAGGGGTTGAGACCTCTGGGTTCTCAGGTCAGTGAGCAGGTCACAGGCCTGGACTAGGATCTGGTCCAAGCTCAGCTAAGGATTTGCTCTGTGACCTCAGATCCCTCCCTTGGCTCTCGATTTCTTCATTAGTAAATGAGCCTTTGGGCTAAATGGATGCTTGAGGCTCTCCCCAGCCTTCAAGGCCCCGGGTGCCCAGCTTTGCAGGGACTCAGGAAGAGCCGGCACAGATAGGGGCAGGGAGACATTGGGTGGGGATGGGGCCCCAGGAACAGCTGGGGGAGGGGTCAGATTGCAAGCTTGGGCACAGAGGGACAGCTCACGCCCTGGAGAGGGAGATGGGGACAGTCTCAGCCCTGGGAGGGGCAGGCAGCTGGAAGACAGCTTTGGGTTGCCTGCCTAACAGGCCTGCAAGCTGGGAACAGCTGGGGGGGGGTCTGCACCCCTCACCCATCCCTCATTCCATGTGCTTCAGGCGCCAGCAGGCCTAGGAGACCCTGGCCCCGCTCAGGCTTCCACGCCACTCCCCAGACACCATCTCTGTGAGGCAGGAGGGATCCTCTGAAGCAAACGCTGGTGACAGGTGCACGGGTGGGGCGGCAGCAGAGAGGGCCGGCTTCGGGTTCTGGAATCCCATCTCTGCTGCTGGTGGGGTGTCCCCCAGCCACGGACTGCCTGTGGGGTGTCGTAAACAGAACATGAAGGGCTGGAGCAGCAAGAGGAGCCCCGGCCTGCATGCTGGGTCGGGGGGGGCACGCTCCTCCCCACTCGAAAGACTTCAGGCCAGGAGGGGTCCAGGGGGAGGCCGAGCCACTGAAGGCCCCAGAGAGTGCAAGGTGTGGCCACTCCTCCCCGCCCCCACACACTCCCTGAGCCACGTCCCGTGCAGATCGCCCGGGCTTGCTGCCGCTGCTGGCGTCTCCACAGACACCCCTCATCTCGGGGCTACTCGGGACCTAACGCCTGGCCTGCCATTTGTGTCGAGGGCCACAGCGTACAGAGACCCACGCACGCCCAGCGACGTACTGCAGTGTCCTGTCTGGGCGCGCGTTTCCGGGCCCACAGGTCTCTCCCGCATCTCGGCCCGCTGCCCCGGGGCAGCACTTGGCCGCTCCCTGGCTAGAGCTCTAAGCTGTAGGGTGTCCCTCGGCGTCCCCAGAAGCCCAGGTTACTCTCTCGGGGCGGTGGCACCTGGACCACAGAGCTACTGTGACAGGGAGGCCCCTTCCCCGTTCCCAGGGGAGCTGAATACCGCGGCCGGAGTTCAGAATGCTGCCCCCAGTCTGGCCCTCCTAGAGCCGGCCCCACTTGGCTCCTGGCCCAGGAAAGCCAACAGCCAAGCCACCGTGCAAGGTGCCTTCCGGTGGTGCATCTTCAGCAGGAAGGGAACACACTGAGTAGGGGTGCAGGGGGCCGCCTCCGAGCTCCAGCTCCATCCTGACCACCGGAAGGGTTCCCACCGCCCCTGGTCCTGCCCCAGCAGCCAGGTGGCTGGTCAGAGATGCCTCTCAGGGGCCAAGCTCACTGGTGAGGGTTTCCATCGCTTCCCGCAAAGTGGACTGAGCCACGGATGTAGGGGCAGGCCTCGAGCTGCTGGGCCCTGGCTGGTCTCGCCTCAGAGGGACAGAGTTGTAGCCACCGTGGCTGCCCCTCAGGCTGGGGCTGGGCACAGGCTAAGCTCTGGCGTGTTGAATCTGAAGGAATCCTCACAACCACCCCATGGGGCGGCTCCTGTGGCGGTCCCTCTTTACAGATAAGGAAACAGCCACGGGTCCAAGCTCAAATGGCTAGGAAGTGGTCGTATTACAGTTGGATCCACGCTTGTCTAGCTCCTGTGCTCAGCTGTTGTGCTCTCCACTGGGGTCTCTCCATGAACTCAGGGGGTCCAAGGATTCTCATGAACAGCCCACAGCCTTCATGGGACCCCCTTCCCAGGGCCACGAGGCCTCAGGGGCTAGAAGCAAATACTTCTCCAGCCCACGCAGATCTGTTTCCTAAGCCAGTGAGGTTCAACAGAGAGGAGCAGACTTTCATGAGATTCTCTGGAGGGGCGGTTAGAAACAGGGCAGGGCCCCAGGGGATCTAGTCCCTGGGGCAAGCTGAGCAGGGCTACTACCCTGCACAACTCGGGAGCATCGGGCACAACCTGTGCAGCTGTACAGAGCAGCTGGGGAGTGGTAACAACAGGAATTAAAGGAACCGTCAGCATGCCCGGTGGTGAAACCAGCTCTCCTTCCCCAGGGGCAGGGAATGACCCCACCTGGACCCCAGCACTCAAAATTCAATGTCCTGACAAGCTGAAGGCCCAGGAGAGACTCTTCAGCAGTAGACAATCCCTGTTGTCTGCAGTCCTGCCCCAGAGAAAGGGCCAGGCTGCCTCCTCCCCCTTCTCCCTGGACCCTGTTCCAGGCCCCAGCTGGCTTCCTGGCTGGCTGCTAGCCCTGGCTTTCACCCCAAAGGGAGCCAGTCGTAAACAGGAAATGCTTCCCGATGCGATGCCTGCCGTGGGCCCCATCGCCAGCCCAAAGACTGAAGACCATGTCCAAGCAGCAGTGTTGACTGGTCCCAGCCACTGACGGGGAGGGGATGTTCTCGGGGCTCCCCTACTTTGGGGCTGACCGTTGGGCCAGGGGTACCGGGCCTGAGGCAGACAGACTCCCCAAGGTTGAGCTCCGTGAGCCTGTGGGCCTGCCCTGACCCCCTGCCCTCCTATGCCTGGTGCCGCCTGCCCCCCAGCTCCCTCCCGTGTGTGCCGAGACTGATGCTGAGCCCTTCCTTCCCCAGAGACAGTCCGCCGGCAGCCCCCAAGTCACAAAAAGCAGATTCCCCCAGCATCGACTACGCAGAGCTGCTGCAGCACTTCGAGAAGGTCCAGAAGAAGCACCTGGAAGTGAGGCACCAGCGGAGCGGGCGCGGGGATCACCTGGACCGGAGGGTTGTCCTCTGACAGGCCTGGCATGGAGAAGGGCCCAAGGAGTGGCCCCATGGAGCATTCAGGGTCTTCAGGCCCCCTCCCTGAGGAGCTCAAAGACCTGCCTCGAGGGCAGGGGCTGGGCCTGGCCACCAGCGCGGGGTGGGGGCACAGAGGCCGTCCACCCAAGCTCTTCTCATAGCCCAGCCCCCCCCCTGGGCCCCCAGTGCTGTCAGCTGCACCCTGGCCTTCAGACAGAGCTGGCTTCCCACCAGGGTGGGGCCAAAGCCCCAGACACCACCCACTCTCTGGAACCGGTCTCTTTCTGATACCCTCTTGTCGAAGAGCTTGTGCTCTCGGGCCCACCAGAGCTCCGCTCTGTGCTGACGCGCGTACATAGGAGTACATGTACCTGTCTGCGGACAGGGGCCAGCACGGAAGTCCGTGTGAATGACACGCCCCCTGCCCCAATAAAGAAATGACGGAAAACCCTCCACCGCACCTGCTTGCTCCTTCCCACTGGCACCTGCTCTCTGCCTGCCTGATGCCCACAGCTGCTCCGGGACCCTGTGGCCCGTCCTGGAGCGCTGCTCGTGGCGGCCCCAGGGAGGGCTGGCTGCCCCTGGAGAGGCTGGTCCCTGCACAGTCCCCTGAAGGGTGTGTTCTGGGTCCCAGCTCTCACTGCTAGGACCCACCCCTTCCTGGAGACTGCCAAGCACTGGCCTGGCCTGAAACCCGGAACCCTACCTTCCCAGGCACCTAATCTGACTTTTCGACCCAGATATCCCCAGGGTAATGGGCCATATCCCCATTGAACAGATGAACCAAACCTTGAGTTTCTGAATGAAAGGGCACTCGCTGCAGGCTGCACATAGCTGGAAATGGAAGGGGAAGGCCCAGACCAGCGCAGGGACAGAAGAGGTGTCCTAGGTGCCCGCCTTGATTTGGCTAAATAAGCCTCATTAACACACCGGTAGGCCAGAGTCCACCTGACTCCAGGCTTTGGGAAGCCTCTGACTGGCCTAATGAGCTCCCAGGTGGTTCTCATGATGGCCCCGGGAGTGGGGGAGAATGAGTTCGTGTGAGCGTTTCCCCAGGGCCCCGCATCGCTCGGGGAGGGTGGGTTTCCCTCCCTGGAGTCTCCAGGACGACAGGCTGTGCACGCCGGTCGTCCACGTGAACACGCGTGCGTCCCCACACACGTGTACCCAGGCGTCGGGGACTGCGGACGGCAGCCCACCTCTGCCCAGCTGGTCTGACGCCGGCCCCCACTGCCGAGTAAGCAGGTTGCCCGACTGGGTCACGACACCCCAAAAGAGCCCGGCCCCCCACCCCCAATGCGAGTGACTTCGGCACCGCTTGGAAAAGCAACCAAAGAGCTTCTGGAGGGCCGTCCAGACTTGTCCTTGCCTGGGATGGAAGGTCCCAAGGTGGGCGACACCCCGCGCGCCCGCTGTATGTCGTGTATCGCGCCCGCGGGACGCCCCCGGAGAAGCCCAGCCCGTCGCCCGTCCGCTAAAAGCGCGGGAAGACCCCGGCCCGAGACCACAGGCTGGAAGGGGTACCGAGCCCCTTCCCTGGGGTGGGGGGGGGCGGACACGCAACCACCGGTC